GAAAGATTTTGGCTTACATGAAACTTATTTATGTCGAATTTTTTCGCTATACTTGCAGTTTGGGGCCGGTAATGAGTGTTAAAGTCATTTTGAGGAGGGGACCTTATATGGGGGGTAGGGACATTTATGGGCCGATCCTAAAAAAAATTGGTAGAGAGATTTTAGTTCGTAAGAAACATACTTATACCGAATTTCATCGCTATACTTGCATTTTTGGACCAGTAATGAGTGTTAAAGTAATTTTCAGAAGGGGACCTTATATGGGGGGTAGGGTCATTTATGGGCCGATCCTCAAAAAATTTGGTAGAAAGATTTTGGCTCATATGAAACTTATTTATGTCGAATTTCATCGCTATACTTGTACTTCTAAAGCAGTTATGCCCGTTAAAGCTGTTTTTTGCAGGTCCACTTGTATGGGGGCTATCCGAAAAAGTGGACCGATATTGCCCATTTTCAATACCAAACAAACCTTAATAATAGAGAATATTTATGCAAAATTTCAACTGTCTAGCTCCTCTCGTGTGGTCCCTATCGTGATTTCAACAGACAGACGGACAGACGGACGGACGGACGGACGGACAGACGGACGGACATGGCTATATCGTCTTAGAATTTAATAAGGACCCGGAATATATATACTTTTATGGGTCTATGACCAATATTTCGATGTGTTACAAACGGAATGACAAAATCAATATACCCCCCATCTTTTTTGATGGTGGGTATAAAAAGGTACGTTCACACCTATCAAATATTTGACGAAAGAACGTTACAACTACATATTTTTTGTAAATGTTGTTTTTTTTTTTGATGTTAATAGAAAATGAAGTAAATTGACAACTTTAAAGACATATTATGTTTGTATAAATATATATTTTAGGAAAATGTTATAGGTCAAATATTTAATAGGTGTGAACGTAGTTGGTACCATTTAGTGGTTTTTCAAATGAAAATTATGTGCTAGAAACGAAATGTTGACACCGATACCAATAGTATACAATTTAGATTCATTTTAAAATTAGTTTAAACTTAAATAGCTTCAAGTGTTTTAGTTAAAAGTGACCTCAACTCATCTACATATGTATATCATATGTTTTCATGTTATTGGTTTTATGGTAAATTAGATAATATTTAACACAGTTGGATATTAATGTCACTTGTCATATTAAAATTTCTCTTCCCTTATTATATCAGTGGCTTGCAGCTATCATCGTACAGTGGGATTGAATGTTTAATGTTTAAATACAAACACAAATATATTGAAAGTTATAATTAACAGATTAAACACATTTTTACATTAATCTTCATTTAGAAAAGTAATATACATCACCTTCTCCGTATTTCCACTTAATTTTTAATGTATGTATAGTTCAGCTGAAAAGTCGGATGACACACACTCTACTTAGGAAACTTTTGACCCGGTCCCGGCTTTAAAACTTAAACTCAGAAATGAACTAAAAATAATAGATTATTTCTTTTTGTTTTTATATTCTTTATTTAGAAAATTAATTTAGGCCATCTTCTTGATATTTGGCCTTGTTTTCTATATTCATTTTGTTTGTGTTCCCTGAATTCATAAATTATATTGTTTAACATTCTTCCTGTTAATTTTAACACAACAAGCCACTGTGCCAACAATTTACCACTAAAATTATAGCATCAGTGCACAATGAGGCACAATCGATTTTTTTTTGAAGTTAGTGTGGGATAGGTTTTTCGGGTTTTCATACGATTTTTTATTTATTTATCTTCTGTATAAATTAAAGGGTAATGTTTGTTCGTAATCGATAATCAGATAATTCTATGGATAATTCTATGGGTCGTGAGGAGCATTTCTCTGAAATTTGTTAACTGCAAAAGAAGGGCATAATTGTTTTAAGGTTTTAGGCAATTTCCTTAAAATGCAGAATTGTATCTAAATTTTACATTAAGACATTTATGGCAAATGTACTACGGATCATACTTTTCATAAGAAAATTTTAACAGGAAAAGATAAAGAGAAAAATAAATTTATGAAAAATAATTTAATTTAGATATAAAATGGGGAATTATTTATTCGTTCGAAAAGTTAACGATAGAACATGTAAAAACTTTTACCCATCAATCCGGATCGAATCCTATTATTGTCTTATATAATTTTATATAAGTATAGTTAATGCAAATCTTTATCAAAAATATCAGAGTGTGATATTGTAATATTTTCTTATTTTCCAAGAATCTACAAGTGCTATCTGCAATGTCAGTGGAATCAGGGTAGTATCATATATATTTTTTGTTTGTGTTGAGTTCATTACAACAATATTTGTTCCTATTTTTTTTTTCTCAGTGATATTTGTTTTCTCCGTACATTGAAGAATACCACATATGTACATTCTTCCTGTCAATATAATTTTAAAACTAATGACAATATTCACTGGAAAAGAAAACAACAGCGGGGTAATATTCAAAGTAAAGGAAACAAATATTATGCAATTTATTTTCTTTTTTAATAAAAACCAAACATATACTAAATTACATACTGACATGCTGTGCATTAAATTATTGATAAATTAAAGCCAGTTTTTAAACGTGTATTGAAGTATTAAGTAACTAGAAACAAAGTTAAAACGTTTAAATGAAGAACTAGTCACGTAACTAGTTACTTGAGGCTAGGGCGACGTTAACATATTTAAGTCGTTATATAGAAGCTAGGGCGAACGGACATGTAAACATTTACAAATCGAGGACTATTTGTGTCTTATATACCAAACCAAACATGTCATCACTTAAGGTACGTTCACACCTATTAAATATTTGACGAAAATGACGCGAACCCTGAAAATTAGACATTATGATTTCCTTTAAATATATATTTATATATATGCACAAAATTATTTGATTCGACATTTTTTTGCAATTAAAAATTTAATGAAAGATCAAAAATAGTGGTTACGTCTTTTTCGTCAAATATTTGCAAGGTATGAACGTACCTTTAAAGTTGTAGTGTACACATACAAATATTTCTTTCTTGTTTACACATTTCATTTTACACCTTTTTCTACGTATCATTTATATGTTGCAACATACAACTTTGACATTGACCCTTTTCTTTATAATTATTCACCAAAATATACATATATTATTAAAATGTTATTTTATTTATGCGTTGTTGATTTATACACTATTTTTCATTGGAATTTTTATTTAAATTAAAAACCCTATAATTTAAATTAATATTTTAAACTTGCTAATTAAATGTGTCAATAAAGTTGCAAAAATATAATATAATTTAAATTAATTTTTTTAAACTTGTAAATTAAATGTGTCAAAAAATTTGCAAAAATATATGGTTTAATTTTGGAAGTTTATTATATTATTATAATTAGAAACAATTAATAAGGTTCTATAGAAAAACAAACAAGAGTGGAATACCCGTCAGTTCGTTATACATAAATTAAAAATTAAGGAGAAATTCGGAAGATAGCCCCATACATACATAGAAGTATCCTATCGGCTTCTATATCTTTTGTTATCAATATGCGTATTAATATGATCATAATAGTGATTTTCTGAAAGGCCTTTTTATGCGAAAAATGTGGGTATCCTTATATTTCCATCAACAACTATATCTTTTGTTATCAATATATACATATATATCATCAGAGTGATTTTCTGAAGGGGCCTTTTAAGGGATTGTTGGTCAATTTTCGACCAAACTCTACAGAATATGGTGAGTGTTTTATATTATTGTATAAATCGTTTTTTTGTTATATAAGGATCAATATGTGAAAAGTTGCACTCATTTTAATAAAACCCTATATGACCAAAATGTCCAACTTTGGACCCCTCTAAGTCCGGCAGTTCTTGACCGATAGAGCTGTCTTGGTGCAAATTTCATCAAAATCGATTTTTTGAATTGGGTCACTTGACATGAAATTCCCTCTGAATACATGAGTATAAAATGGGCAGCCTAGCTATAGTGGGCGTGGCACCTCCCATATAGAGAAAATCTTTAATTAGTATATCTGAGAAAATATAACAGCTAGAGTCCTCATTTTTTCGAGACACTTTAGTATCAACATGAATGTTTAGAATATTTAGAAATAGGTGGCGTGGCACCTCCCATATAAATCAAATACTAAAATTCGTTTATCTGGGAAACTATTGTAAATAGAATCCTAAAATTTTGCACAAAGAACTTTAGCATCCATGAGAATATTTAGGAGAAAAATGGGCGGACTTTCATAACGAGGTCTTGACACCTCCCATACGGATTGAATAAAAAAAATCGTATATCTGAGAAACTATTAGAGCTAATATTTTGCACGAACTACTGTGACATCCATGTGAACATTTGGGTAATAAATTTCATCAAACTCGATTTTTTGAGTTGGGTCACTTGACATAAAATTCCCCATATATATTTCCTCCAGCTCCATCCATTTGGTCACAATCGTGATTTCAACAGACTCACAGAAAGGCGGACGTTCTTGAATAAATCTCCTTAGAATTTTAAAAGAACTCAGAATCCGCATACAGTTTTATAAAAATTTAAAATTTTATAGTTCACATTTTCACAATATTGAACTCGTATTTATGAAAAATGTTATATTTGAAAATTAAACACAATTTTAAATTAAAATTAAAAACTTAAAAAATTGTTTTGTATCATTCATGATAACGCAGTTTGTCGATTGTGCAGTGCAAAGAAATAATAGATTAAACCCAAAATAACATATTTCTATGGAATTTTTTCATTTATATTTTTACTTTTTTAGACTTTCTATTTCATATATAAAATTGTATTAATTTCAATTGATTTTGATTAAATTTGTCATAATATTTCGCAGTTACTTTTAAATAATTATCATATTACAGTCCAATAACACATTTTTTTATTTCACTTTGAATTATTTGCTTTGAATCACTTTTACATATTGAGTTGTTTTTATTTTATTTTTTTTTTTATTAAAAACATTTAATTAGTTTATCCTTTTTTAGCAAAAAAAATCACCACTTACTTAATAATGCTGCTTATAAACGCTTAATTAAAATTTGTATCCTTCTGGCAGAGGGGGCTAAAAAACTAAAACTACTTTATTGAGGTGTAACTATGAACTGTGGCTTCAATTGCCGGTTACAATGGTTTTATACAAAATTAAACAAAAAATAACAAAATCATTGCATGAAGTGGTTAACACAAATGGACAGACAGATAATATTGGTAAAAACCCAAAAAAAAATAGATGAAGAAAACAAAAAATATATAAAGTAAATTGAATTTAGAGGTTTAAAAGTAAAGTAAAAAAAGTTGAGTAAATCTGCAAACAATTTCCTACAAAAATTAAATAAAATGTTAAATGGATACTCTCGTATGTCAAACTGACAAAAGCCATAATAAAACGTGGTATAAGAGATTTTGTTTAAAAATGAAACAACTCAAAAGATATTGTGGTAGGTTGCGAATAAATACAATAAAAAACAATTAAAAAAGTATGGTTGATTAAGGTCGACTTTATGATATGCTATATGTAGATATAATATAAATGAGAGCTTTGATTACTAATCAACAGGGAAACCAAAATATGCAAATGCATGTTTTTTGTGGTGCGTCGTATGGACTCATGGATAAGACACGTTTCAGACCAATTTAAGAATTTTGGCATCGATTTGTTAGAGCATAATTTTGCATATTTTACCCATAAGAGCATAATTTTGCATGATTTGACTTTTGTAGCATATTTAAGGCATATTTTCGAGTTTTTAGAGCATATTTTACTCTTTTAGTGCATATTTTGAAGTTTTTCGCTTTTTTTCACTTTTGTACATTTTTAATTTTCTTTTCAAACTTTATTTAAAAAAATCAAATTTAATTTTTTTTATTTTTTTTTTTAATTTTTTAGCCTATTTTACAATTTTGAAAAAAATTATTTTCTTTGTAGAACTTGAAAACTGCAAAAAATACATTAGTCTCATGAAAACCAATGTTATATTTTTTATTCAATAAAGCATTAAATTTTAAATCGGACATAAAACCGATTACTTTGGATTTCATGACACCAATCCATTTTTATCGTTTAAAAAACTAGTATTGATAACACTGTAAGTATGTCAAAAAGACACAGAAAAACGCCGAGAAACCTAAACTTAATTTTGGGTCGTAGAATCTAGTGGCTTACTCCGTTTTGAAAATTTAGGTCAAAATCGGGTATGAACTGTTTATGAGGTGATTTTTTAATTTTTAAATTTTTGAAAAATGATTTCACGCATAGACATACGAACTAATTATAAAAAGCTAAATATATGTATATTCATAATTAATTCATAATTTTCTATGCGTGAAAGTTTTTTTAATTTAAATAATCAAAAAACACCTCAGAAACAGTGTAAACTTTAAAATCCAATATCTCCCGATTTTGACCTAACTTTTCAAAACGGAGTATGCCAGTATGTATAAGTTACATAGATAAGAAGAAACACGTGTACGGTAAAAATGTCAACCGATCTTGTTTCAAAAGTTGGGTCACTTGACATGAAATCTCCCATATGTACATATATAGGACGGCTAAATGTAAATCAGACAAACATCATTAATACGAAAATAATTCTAAGCCGATTGTTATACTTAGTTACAATCATCGGCATAAATACATATAACATTATGTAGGGTATTACAAAATAAACAAAAATTTTTAGAGTTCCTCACATTAATTTGTTTATTAATGCTCAAATTTACAGAAAATCCATCATAGTTAGTTAATGTTGAAAACCCATCAATTCATGAGAATTTTTCAGTTAACCAAAAAACTATTTACAGACGCGTGGCCAAGAGCTTTAAAATATTTTTCGATCAGAAAAAAACCCAATTCACGTTTATAGTGACGTTTTATTAAACCTTGACTACTTGTTGTGGACTTATATCAAAAGCAAAAGAACGCATAAGCTAAAATTATAAACGAACAAAATATTTTTGTTTACATTATATCAGTAGGTCTTATTAATATACATTTAACACACATATGTAGTGCGTATGTTATTATAGCAAATGATTCATGATTCATCCAAAGAGTGGGAATATACCACAGTTAAAGGCACACACCGATACAATCACTCATACTCTCACATTATTATGACCATCACACTTGAATCAAAGTAATATAATGGAAAAAATACATCAGCGTGGAACCAGCAACAACAAAAATCATTCATCTGAAATTATGCAATTTCACATGAAGTTTATTTGTTTGTCTGTTAAAAACATGATGATGATGAGGTTGATTTTTATGGAGGAAGATATTGTGTCGATGATTGTTATTAACAATCATGAACGCAAAAACAAAAAACTGTAACTCAGCTATTGTTTTGTTTAGGTTAACTGGTTTATTTAAGTACTCTATACAAGATTATGACAAATAAGAGGAAACTAAATTTAAAAAATCTGTGAAATAGGATTTTTTAAACCCTTTAACCTTTGCGCATAATGAGGGAAATTTATATATATAAAAATAAATGTGTGTTTGTATGGACTTCATAGATAGCTAAACGTTTGGACCGATTTTTCTGAAATTTTCACAAATTTTAAGTGGGCGACGTGCCACGCCCACATACAAAATAAGTAATAAAAGTCGCATATCTCAGAAACTGCAAGAGCCGTCAAATTCTGTATGGAAATTTTGGACATCCATATGGATACATGAGGATAAAATGGGCAGCCTAGCTATAATGGGCGTGGCACCTCCCATATAGAGAAAATCTTAAATTAGTATATCTGAGAAAATATAACAGCTAGAGTTCTCATTTTTTCGAAACACTTTAGTATCAACATCAATGTTTAGAATATTTAGAAATAGGTGGAGTGGCACCACCCATATGAATTAAATACTAAAATTCGTTTATCTGGGAAACTATTGTAGATGGAAAAATTTTGCATAAAGAACTTTAGCATCCTTGAGAATATTTTGGGAGAAAAATGGGCGGATTTTCATAACGGGGTCTTGACACCTCCCATATGGATGGAATATACAAATTAGAGCTAATATTTTGCACGAACTACTGTAACATCCATGTGATCATTAGGGTAATAAATTGTAATTAATAAATATATTCAAAAATTCGTTTATCTAGGTAACTATTAGAGCTAGAATCTTTAAATTTTGTACCAAGAATTTTAACATCCATTTAAACATTTGGGAGAAAAATGGGCGGACTTTTATTAATTATTATTATTATTTAGAAACTTAAAAATTCGTAAAGTGGGTTTTATATTTATATTGACTTTAGGGTAGCAAAACACACTGGGTATAGCTAGTTTCCTATAAAATAGCATAATTCATATAAGACCCTTCGACCTACTGATGTAGGTCGAAATAGAGCATCTCATGAAAATTGTGATCAAAACGATCACAATTTTGTATTTAAAATCTGATTTTAATGATTATTCTATAATATGTAAAACTTTAATAAGTCCTAAAAACACAAAAATCGGTCAAAAGTTGTAAAAGTTATTACAAATTCCTCAGATCATTTAGTCTCACAAAACACTTAAATGAGAAATATTTAAAAAAAATTAACACATTTTGGGAAATATTCTATTAAAGCTATTTAGTGTCAAGTGACCAAACTTTTAAAATCGATGTCTGCCGATTTGGATGAATGTACTATTGTATAGTAGACAAGACAAAAATTTTCAGAACTGCCGGACTTAGAGGGGGTCAAAGTTGGACATTTTGGTCATTCAAATGAGTGTAACTTTTCACCTATTGGTCCGAGCAAAAATTGTCCAAAGGAGTTCAGATAGTTATAACTTTCTATAGACTCGGAAATATTAATCTCAATTTACTTTATCAAAATGAAGCAACAATTTGTAATAGTATAATTTTTACTTAATTAATAATTATTGATAAAAATCGCCCTTTTTCTGAAATGTTTCAAATTCACATCGCAGGTATGTCAAAACTATATGAGGTATTTAGCTCATTCTTTTTATATTTAATTCTTATATATATTATCCTTTATAAAATCAAGTATAGAAACTTCTCATTTTTTTTAAATCCATTTAACAAAATTTTTAAAAGTTTGAAAATGGAATTTTGGAGGTGCTGTTAAAATAATACCCCTTTTTTTGACCACAGACTAAACCAAGTAAGCGTTATCCAATTTGTACAAAAATTCGTAGTTGCATATTTAGGGATATTGTAATAGTAATCATTATATATTTTTTTGGAAAAGTTTTCAAAACCAAAAAAAAAAATAAATTTATATACTTTTATGTGTTCTCAGAACACCAAAATTCTCGGGGAAAATTTTAATAACTTAAAAATTGTTTAAACAATTTTAAGTTTTTCTATGCTTTTAGAAAGACAATTTTGTATACATTACGATTTTGCTATAAAATAGAGCAAAAATTAATACTTAATGGCATATTTTTTGAAAAAAACTTGAAAAAGTACATTTTTTTCCCCATATAAACGCATTTACAAACTTTGGCGGCGATGCGCGGGCTCTTAGCCTCAAAATAATTGAATAATATTTTACAGTCTTCCATTTGACGTTAAAACACAACTTATTTTCATTATTAGAAGTTGATCCGAGAGAAAAGCCTATTTTCGACCCACCCTAATGTGTATGTATTATATAAGTACTATAATCTGCATTCGACCACTGCCTTTATTTATTGTTTTTATCCATTTGATAATGACTTTCATTCATTGTTTTATTTACCAAATACGACTAAATTTATGGTTCATTGAGTGAGTGTGTTTAGCAAAAGTCTTATAAATATGATTACAACACCCACCGCAAAGTCATCGTCAACTTTCAATAATGAAAAAACAAATAAAAATAATAATAATTTTATATGTTTGGATGTACTACTCGTCTGTAAATAAATAAAAATTTTGCAAAATCTGCAAATCTACCTGTAGTCGATGACAAAAGTTATTGTCAATATTAATTTGGGTTGAAACAGATAAAATACACAAAAAACATTTCTACAGCAGTAGTACCCTAACCACAGCAGATGTGAGAAGAAAAATATATTGCTGCACTTTTTTAAATTGAAAATAATAGTAATAGAAATAAAACAATTGTTTTTAATTATGATTATATTTTAACGTT